AATCCCTGGATTTGGTTTTTACTACAAATAATCAATTAACTCTTGAATAATTCTTTTTTAAAAAATAAGTATATATATAATAAATCTACTAATATTGTTTAGTGAAAACAAAAATATCATCAACGTTACAAAATCTATTCTATAAATTAATTTTTATCAATTTGATAACCACACCATGTACTCTTTTGAAATCTGTTTCCTTGCATGGTCAGCCGCCACAACATCTGCTAGATTTGCTTCAACCTCAGAGACACCACCAATATCAACTGGAATGTCCTAACATAACAGCTGCAGTTCAGAAGTCTTTTCAATCATCTGGTAAATTTGATCAATAGCTACAGGCATCCATCGAACCATCACAATCTCCCCTTGTGTTTCCCCAGCATTTCCTTCAGCTGAAATCACCTTAACCTTGCGTCTCCTCCTCCTACTAGTGATAGAAATCACAAAGGAGGACACCAGGCCCTGTTTCCACTGTTGCAAAATCAAGCCCAAGTTAACCATTCATAGGACGTGATGGGCTGAAAGCCTAAGGCTGATCAGATTCCTGTGAGTTAGCCTATTTGTTAGAATTCATTTGCTTGAGTCGAAGGAGATGAAAGCATGGTGACCGAAATTCATGGTGGTCAGCCAGTCGTGAGTGTTTATTCCAATAATCAAGTTAATCTAAATTAAATTGATTGATTAAAATTAATAATTTTATATTAAATAAAAATTTTAAAAATTATTTAAGGCTTTTATTAAAAGAAATTAAAATTCTGGGGTCCAATTATAATTTTGAAGAGTTGATTTGGTTAAGTGAGGGGCTTAATTGGTCCAAAGATCAATGTGAAGATTAAATAATGATAACAACAAATATCAAGGTTAGAGGATCCACTAATAATATTTCAAACAAGTATAGTATAAAATCTTATTATTCAATTGAAAACCACACACAAAGGAGGTTCCAATCAGATTATAAATTGTTAACATGACTACATTAGTTATCTTATTCAAATAATGCTAATACTTGTAAATCTTGTCAGGTATTCATGATTATAACTTATGTTAATAAAAAATCAAGTTCCTTTCATAGCACAAGTGTCGATTATATCATACAGTTAGGCTATGAAAGTGCCAAGTATTTGTTGTATCAAGTGTTATAAAACACAAATCTAGATTAACTATTTAACAAGCAAAGTACTAAAAGTGAATAAGATAACAAATACAAAACATGTTAGTATCAAACATTGAAGTCCATATTGAGTTTACACTATACTTATTCTTACACCATTAGTGTAATTTTTTCACCTTGATATAATAAACTTAGTTAAACATAATGAAAGAGAGAAACATAAATAAACAAGATAAGAACATAACTAAAATAAAAGTTAACTAAGTAAAGAAAAGGAAATGAAAGGCATAAACAAGATATTAATGAAAGCAAAAATTAAGCTTTAAAAAAATACAAAGAGAGAAAGCAAGAACATGATCTTGATCTGGCAACCAAGATGTCTAAATGCATGACAAATGCCTCCTTTTATAGGCCAAAATTTAGAACTATTATTTGATGACTAATTGTTGAGTGGGTGGCCACATCTTGACTTAGTGATTATTTTTATCTTCTTATTTGAATAAAACATCATTGATAATAATAGAATTTGAAGCACATATTCTTAAAAATACTTATTTCTAATATTTATAAATATGTATTTTAATTGTGTAGTAAATTAAGACATGGTCTTCCTACTGCTATTATTTGAATATTTTTAATATCAAAAGATGATACTTAACACTTAGAAGTCGAAATTTAAAACTTGAAACTTAATATGTTAGTGAGATTAATTCATCCTTTAATTAATTTTGATATTCGTGATTGTTAAAATAAAACTAAATATCAACTATTCAATTTAAAAGTAAATTGTTTGATCGATAATCATACTATTTCATCAAATAGTTATAATGTTTTATCTTTATATTTCAAGTCTATAAAAACCTATTATTGCATAAAAAACTACATACAACACACAATGAAAATATATATTCTTTTCTTGGTCTTTCTCATTCTTTTAGAGGTTTAAAAGACTTAGTTGTATCCTGAAGGTGTTGTTTTTGTATGAGGCAAATAAACACCTTAAAAATAGTGTTTTCATGCCTGTAAGCCAACTTTATATTTGTTTTAATTTTAAATATTTCTAACAATTTTAAGGTGTTTATTTTAATGGAGATAAATGTGAATTCCAATGTTAGGGTTGTCATAACCCAATTTTGGCCCTTTGGCTTTTAATTTAATTTTTACAGGGTTTAAAATTAAAAATTAAAAGATCAGAGATTTATTTCGATGAAAAGTGTGATTTGTCAACTTCTGCAAAAATTAAGGATTACAATGTCCCTTTGTCATTATAGCCTTATCCTCAAAATAATCCTTATCTTCTTCAAGATAATCCTTACCTTTTTCAAGATAATCCTTATCTACTTCAAGATAATCCTTACCTTGTTCAAGATAATCCTCAAGATAATGATAGTTGTCTGCTTTTGAATTTGATTCTAATTCGAACTTCAAAAAAGAGAATGAGTTTGATTGAAACTTGATTTCTCACACATAAAGGGACTCTGACACTATAAATATAGATGTCAAGGGTAAAGAAAAGAAGGGGGAGGGGAAATTTTTGATGAACAGGACAAGAAAAGAGGACATGCGGAAGACGAGGAACGCACAGTGAAAAAAACAAAAAAAAAACACAGAGCAAAAAACACAAAACAAATACCCAGACCCAAATTTGAAAGGAGAAGCCAGCACTGTCCTTTGTTCTTCATCACAAAGACTGAGAAAGCAAAAAAAAAAAAAAAAAAGGGAAAACGAACAGCAGACAGAGAAGGAGAGAAAGGCAAAGGAGAGCCTCAGATCAACCCTGCCTTTGTCTTCGTCCCTGCAGAAAAAGAGCAACAAAGAACCAAAAACTATTGACAACCGGCATCATCATTGTCTACTTGCCTTCATCTCAAAACCAGAGGGGATAGAACCTAATCAAAGAAAGAAGCAGAAGGAAAGAAAACAAGTAGAGGAAAGTCAAAAGAGACCATTGCTACTACCTTCGGCGTTTCCAAAACTAGGAGAGAAAGCAAAAGGAAAACGCCAACAAAGTGAGCACAAGAGGAAGATAAAGGGAAGCAATAGGTGAAAATCCATCAGCACTGCGAGCATCATCAGCCTCCAGCACAACAGGTAAGCTAGCTTTCCTTTCTTGCATTTTGTTTATTTAGGTGACAGTGGCACTGTGCAAGTGAATTTTAATTCACTTGCACAGCGCTGCAACACGCGTGTGTTAGCACACGCGTGTTGCTCAGCCCCGCCGGGTCACTGGCTTGGGCCAGTGACCGGGTCGGGCTGGCTGGGTCAAACCCAGCCTAAAAATAAAATATATGCTGCGTTGGGCTGGGCCCAACCCAGCCCAAAAAAAAATAGAAAAAAAATAGAAAAAATTAAAAATTAAAAAATTAAAAAAAGAGTCTGAATGTGTAAATAAAAAATAAAAAATGAATTTTTTGTTTTTATTCATGAATAACCAGAGCAAAAAATAAAAATATTGATTCAAATTTATTTCATTGAACTTTGTTTAATTTCGTAAAAATAAAAGTAGGTAAAAAATAAAAATAAAATAATATAAAATAAAATTATAAGTTTATTCACTGACACCAGAGTCAGGAATAAAGTTAATAATTTATTTTATTTTATTGTATTTTTCTTTTACTTAGTTACATAAAGATATACATGCATAAAAAAAATCTATTTGATCTTTTTATTCATTAACGCCAGAGTCGGGAATATAAAAGATACTGATTTAAAAATATTTTATTTTTACCTTTTTAAAAAAAAAAATATAATAAAATGATTTTATTTTTTTTATTCACTGACGCCAGAGTCAGGAATAAAAAAAATGATGACTTTGATTTGTTCACTTTGATACCTACGTAATATTTACTAACGCCAGAGTTAGAAATATCCGTAGTCGAATATTCACTGACGCCAGAGTCAGGAATATTACACATAAACAATCATAGTATAAACAAAAAAAAATATTAGCAATTAATGATTTAAATTTATTTACTTCGATACCTATGCAATATTTACCAACGCCAGAGTTGGAAATATCTGTAGTTAAATATTCACTGACACCAGAGTCAGGAATATTACACGCAAAACCACCATAGCATAAACCAACAAAACATTAGCAATTATTGACAAAGTCAGCAATGCACGCTAAAAGGGGTGATAATATCTTCCCTTTTGCGTAATCAGTTTCGAACTATAGAATCTCTATTGACCAGTTAGGGTTCCTAGTAACCATAATACTAGGTGGCGACTCCTTAAACAAAGAATATTCCCATTAAAGAACAGGATGCCAGAAATCCGTTCTTTCCATAGATTTAATTAATTTTTAAGGCCACCGCGATGTCGGGTACGACAGAATGGCGACTCCACTGGGGAACCAAGACTAAGCTTTGCTTTATTTGTTAAAATTGCTACCAATATTCGTTGTGTGTTTAGTTTTTATTTCATTCTATTTGGTTTATTTATTTTTACAGCTTTAGCATCTATATTTATTCATGCCATCATATATATTGGATATGCATTGATGCCTTCACACACCACGCATTTCATAATAAATATTTGTTGTATAAACTTGATGTTAAGTGGGAGAGTAGCGGTACCCCAATGGCTTTAGCCTGGGTAAGACTCGTGAAACCATCCAACTTTCGCTTGATTGTTTACTCGATAGTGGTTGGTATGCCTAAACTGATATTATTCAGGGCCTCTATCTTCACGCTACTTGTAAGCCTCATATCAACCTTTCGAGGAAGATCACTAAGCATGCGAAAGACCTTTCAAAGACTAGATAGTAGCCTACCTTGAGCATTTAATGACTAGAACCTACCCTTTAAGTTGTTCCCTATGTAAATCTCACTAAGGCAAGCTTAACATATAGCATCTTTATTACAGGATTGTTTTAGGTGACATAATGGTCGTTAATCGTGAAATCACAACGGTTGAGTATGGGCTTGAATCTGAATCATTGCATATGACTGAGGGAGACTGCCCTAGACTGGATGACAGTGGGATACCGCTACTAAAAGATGTGAGATGCATAATAAATGAGGCCAGTCGTTTGCTTCCATTCACCAAATACTTGGCCGATGAGGCAGAATTTACTAGGATGTATGGGAGAGTTTTGCATCTTCTGAATGTTCCAGTACTGCCATTAGCCATAAAAACCTTAATTCATTTTTGGGATCCTGAATATCGATGTTTTACATTTGGGAATATCGATATGGTTCCTACCATTGAAGAATACGGGGTCTTGACAGAATTTCCTGAGGATATCCATAAGGTTTACTTTCATCAAAAGATTGAGAATACTATAGAGGAGCTCGCTAAGCTATTGGGAATCCGTCAAATAAGCTTATATAGAGAAAAAAATAATTCTGGGGGTTTGAGATGGAAACGACTAGAAGAGCTTTTGATTGCTAAAAAGTCTAATATTGATGTTAATTTAGAGGTATACCGAATATTGGCTTTGGGGATATTTGGGTTGATTTTGTTTCCTTCGACGACCGGAATTATCAGTTTAGAGGCAGCTAATTTGTTTATGGAGTATGAGAAGACCAAAATTAATCCTTCTGCTGCGATCTTGGCTGAAACTTTTTTATCTCTCAATCATTGCAAAAAGATTGGGAAAGGTTCTATGAGATGTTGTGTTCCATTGTTGTTCATTTGGATGGTAAGCCATATAGAATCCGAGACACCAGTATTCCGAAATTTTTGGTGGTTTGATCAAAAGCCACTCGAGTTATTTGTATCAAGTGAATGGGAAAACTTTTCTGAAGATGATTGGAGGGTAAAATTGCAAGGAATTCCGCAAAGCAATTTTAATTGGAGAGCCCCATGGATGAAAAATGTAGCATACCTAATGAGTTGTGGGAAAAAGCCTTGGGTACCTTTGATTGGGGTGACCGGGTATATTAGTTATGCACCTGCTTTGGCTGCAAGACAACTTGGGGGCATACAAAGCATTCCAAGAACAGTTGGTTTAGCTCAATTCACTGGAGTCTACCAAGGAGCATATAATGAAATGCTAGAGAGCATTAAGCATGATTGGGGTTCTTTGGTGATAGTTAAAAAGGAGATAGGTGTAAGGAATCCTATGGTTAGTGAAAGGTATCCCGAATGGCGTAATGGAGGAGTCTCTTATATGGCAGAAGTTTCTGAATCTGTGGGCACTCGAAGGAAAAGAGTGAACAGTGAAGAAGAATTAAGGGAACAAGTAAAATTGTTACAAGCCGAGCTTAAAGCAAAGGAGGAGCATAGAGTGTCCTTGGAGCAGCAGTTAGCCAAAGAAAGAGCTGTGAGAAAAACAGTGGAAGAAGAAAGGGACTCTGTGGGTCAAGACTGGATAAAGGCAAAGGATGAATTGAAGGTGATCAATAAAGACTTGACATATTATATGGAAAAAGCTAAGCATTGGGAAGAGTCAGCTATCAAGACGCAAACTGCATTAAAAATGCGTCGGGCGGACGTAGTCAAGCTTAAAGACCAATTAGGGAGAACGGAGATTGAAATAGCCAACACTAAACATGTGAATAAAATACATGAAGAGCAAAAAGTAGCGTTGAATGATCATAAGGTTGAAGCAGAAGCATTGAGATCTAAGCTGGAAAAAGAAAAATTGAAGACCGCACAGCTTATAGAAAACCAGAAAATGATAAAGCAGCACAATCAAACATTGGACAATGCTAATAACTTTTTGTCTAGAAACAACTTGATTCATACTGAAAGGATAAGAGAACTACAAGATCAAATTGATAGAGCAGTTGCAGAAGCCCATTTATTACGAGTGGAAGCTCGCCAAGTAGGAGGAGACATAATGAAATATCGAAGAAGCATGGATAACACCGATCTTTTTTTAAGAGCAATAGCTACTAAAGGCAGTGTTTTTTCTCCTGTAATAGATTAGATTAATTTTTCATTGTAAGCTTTTAAATAAGTAATGAAAGGGTTAGACCCACATTTTCAAAAAAGAAAAAACATGTGTATATGGCTGAAAGCCCAAATGTCAAAAAGCTGAGTAGATCTCTCCTCGGCATTACAGCAATGATATCAAGTTCAAGTTCAACCCACATATCTAATGAATAACGACCATATGTCACCAACAAAGTGTGAATCTATATCCAATATGTTGCATTCACATTCATGCATCTCATACATTTGCTTATAGATTGTCATATTTTGCATATAACAGGTGAAATATAGGTCCCCAACTGAAACGTATTCATAATACTCGTTCACGAAAGAAAATGGAAAATGAAGAGAGAGCTCAGTTAGAAATGCAACACCAAAGAGAGTTGGAAAGCCTGAAAGAGGATGTGGCAAGGCTCACTAGCTTGCTCGAGCAAGCTTTGAGGCCTAGAGCTGGGGAAGGAACATCTTCTCAACAAACATGTACACCTCAGCCTCCACCTTCCTTTATTCCGCCATTCGAACCTCAGCATGCTGCTCCTTTCGCACCTACTCAATCAACACATCCAATGAGGATCCCTCATATTGTGTTGACAGAAGAAGAACCTCAAAGGAACAAGATAATAGAGGAAAATGGTCATGAGAAACTAGCTGCCTTAGAAGAAAGAATGAAGGCAATAGAAGGGAATAGTTTGTATGATCCCGTGAAGGCCGCTAAAATGTGTTTAGTGCCTAACGTGGTTATTCCTAGAAAATTCAGAGTTCCAGAATTTGTTAAATACACCGGAACTCAGTGCCCAATCACCCATCTTAAAGCATATTGTAATAAGATGGCTGAAGTAGTCCATGATGAGAGATTATTGATCCATTTCTTTCAGGACAGTTTAAGTGATGCTGCTCTTGCTTGGTATATGCGTTTGGATAATACCAAGATTAAAGGATGGAAGGACTTGGTTGATGCTTTTGTTAGACAATATAAGTTCAACATGGATATTGCCCCAGATAGATCAAGTCTGCAAGCCATGGAAAAAGGCAATAAGGAGTCTGTAAGAGAATATGCCCAAAAGTGGCGTGAATTAGCTGCACAAGTAAGTCCTCCATTGTCGGAAAGGGAGATGACTGGCTTATTTTCCAATACTTTTAAAGCCCCGTACTTTGAGTACCTGGTAGGCAGTGCAGCACAAAATTTCTCCGATTTGGTTGTCATAGCTGAAAGGATCGAACAAGCCGTTCGGACGGGTAGGATCGTGGATCCTACTGAAAAAAGAGGTTTTATTGGGAAGAGGAAAGAAACAGAAATTCACAATGTTGAAAGGGAAAGTAGAGGGAAGAAAACCTACCAAGATAATTACAGCTTTAAAAGTATTCCCCCTACCCCCTCTATATCCAATATAAAATTCTCTTCACCTACAAACACCCAAAACAACCCAATAAACAACCAAACCAATAATGCCTACCGCCCAAGAAGAAATTTTCCAACAGATCAAGTGCAACTTCCACCATTACCCATGTCTCTTACTGAAATGCACCAAAGATTGCTTAGTATTGGTCAGGTAGCACCTATTCCATTAGAACCTTTACAACCACCATTTCCCTTTTGGTATAAACCCGATCAAAAATGTGAATACCATGCTGGTGCTGTTGGTCATAATATTGATGGATGTATTGCATTCAAACGAAAAATCCTTCAGCTTATCAAAGCTGGTTGGATTTCTTTTGATGAGTCTCCAAATGTGAATTCTAACCCTCTACCAAATCATGCTTCTGGAAGCGGGGGAGTTAATAATTTGGAGATAGGAAGGGGAAGTACATCAACTTTAAGGGTGACTATGGATAGATTGTATGGGATGTTGAGGCAAACAGACTATTTAAAGACACCAGTCAAAGTACAAGCTGTAAGGAATGATAATGAATATTGTAAATATCATCAGCAGCTTGGGCATGATATCGACTCGTGTGAGGAGTTCCATTTGGAGGTAGAAAATATGATGACATTGGGAGTATTAAGATTAATAAAACCCAAAGAAGATGAGTTGGTAGGAACAATGACTGGTTGTAACAAGAAGGTGGAAGTTTGTAGATATATACCAACCGAAAAGGGTCCACCAAAAATGATCCTAACCAAGCCTATGAATACTGTTAGCGGGAGTTTTAGTGCCCAACCATATAATTATGGTTATTCCTTTCACAACACAAATCCTGCCCTTGTTTTCCATGCTGAAATAGGAGGACTCACTCGAAGTGGGAGATGTTTTACTCCTGAAGAGTTGGAAAATCACAGAAAAGCCAAAGGAAAGGATATGGTGGAATTGGCAAAGACCGATGAGGTTAATAAGCCAGTAAGTGATGAAGAGGCTAATGAATTTCTGAAATTGATGAAACACAGTGAATATAGTGTGGTTGATCAGCTAAAGAAAACACCGGCTAGGATTTCTTTGTTATCATTAATGTTGAGTTCAGAATTGCATAGGAACGTGCTTCAGAAGGTTCTTAATGAAGCATATGTTCCTCAGGATATCACACAAGACTCCATAGAACATTTGGTGGGCAGGATTCAAGCCACCAACTACCTCTACTTTACCGATGATGAGCTGGATCATGAAGGGACCGGTCATAATAAACCATTGCACATCACAGTAAAATGCAAGGATTGTGTGGTAGCTAAGGTGCTTATAGATAATGGTTCTGCTCTCAATGTATTACCAAGACATGTACTTGATAAAATGCCAGTTGATGCCTCTCACATGAAGCCAAGTACCATGACTGCTAGGGCATATGATGGGTCACCTCGACCAATCATTGGGAGTATTGATGTTGAACTAATCATTGGCCCACAACCATTTCAAGTCACATTACAAGTAATGGACATTCATCCATCATATAGCATGTTACTGGGGAGACCTTGGATCCATGCAGCCCGAGCTGTCGCATCTTCTTTACATCAACGGGTCAAGTTTATCATCAATGGAAATTTGGTGACTGTGAGGGCTGAGGAAACTTTAGCAACAACGAAAAATGTATCGATCCCTTACATAGAAACTGAAGAAAGTAAGGATGGAAATTTGCATGCATTTGAAGTTGTAAATGCTGAATGGGTACCAGAAAATACGATACGAAGGAAACCAGAAATTTCTGAAGCAGCAAAAATGGTTGCTAAATACTTCTTAAAGCATGGACTGCCATTTCAATATGACCACACTACCGGAATGCCTGAGAGGGTTAATGTGATAAAAATGAAGTGCGCGGATCAAAGGTTTGGCTTAGGGTTTAAGCCTGGGAAAGCAGATTTCAAAAGAGCAGCTGAAATTAGAAGAGAAAAGAGAATGGCCCGGATTGAAAGGAGAGAACCAGATGAAGATCGAATGGAAATCCCACCAATCCATGTAACGTTCCCAAGACCCGCATATGTGATAAAAACTGAAGATTATGAGGGAGGACTAAGAAAGGAATTCAATGGTGTTACTATCAATTATCTTGAAAAAGACAGTGAACAAGAGTTAAAGGAAGAAGATAGTACTCATGAACAGTTGCCTCAGCTGACTATTAGCGTTTTGGAAGATGGCTCATCAGAATTCGTGAGGAAACTGGTCGAGGGAGAAGATTTAGCAAATTGGGAAATTCATGAAGTTCCAATTATTTTCAAAAAGTAATGTTTGTTTACTTGTTTGTTGTTTTGGTTATTTGTATTGCTTGAATAATTGTGCCTTGCCAAATCATCATGGCTTAAGAGATTGGCAATAAGGTTTTGTGGTTGAGCCCTTTTATCCTTTAGATTTCAATGAGATCATGCATACTTTCTTTCAATCGTTTTTTTCTCTTTCTCTGTTCATTTATTTAATTTCCCAGAACTATATACTCATAACCGAAACACTTTCCGCTTTCAGGAAATCTGAAAGCGGATTGTCATACACCTCACAAACTCATTGCAATGTGGATAATTGGCTTAACTTTGATGAAAATATAATTGCCATGGATGAGGAAGAGTTTGGTGAAGAGGATATCCATGAGTTCGCAAGGTTAGTCGAACAATCTGACCGCACATGGAAGCCTGCAAAAGAAGAATTAGAACTGATAAATGTGGGCACCGAGGATAATAAAAGAGAGTTGAAGATAGGGAAGTTAGTCTCTGCTGATGAAGGAAGGAAATTGATTGCTCTTTTACAAGAATATGTTGATGTGTTTGCCTGGTCATACGCTGATATGCCTGGTCTGGATACTGATATTGTGGTACATAAACTACCTTTGATAGAAGGTTGTAAGCCAGTTAAGCAAAAGTTGAGGAGGACAAGGCCAGATATACTAATCAAAGTGAAAGAAGAAATAATGAAACAGTGGGATGCTGGATTCTTGGAAGTAGTCGATTATTCTCAATGGGTGTCCAATATCGTAGTAGTACCCAAGAAAGATAACAAAATCAGGGTATGTGTGGATTTCCGAGACTTGAATAAGGCAAGCCCAAAAGATAATTTTCCTTTACCCCATATAGATGTGCTAGTGGATAGTGCTGCTAAGAGTTCTACTTACTCTTTTATGGATGGTTTCTCTGGGTATAATCAGATTAAAATGGCCGAGCAAGACAAGAAGAAAACAACATTTGTCACCCCGTGGGGAACATATTGCTATAAAGTTATGCCATTTGGATTGAAAAATGCTGGGGCAACTTATCAAAGAGCAATGGTGACACTATTTCATGACATGATGCACAAAGAAATTGAGGTATATGTGGATGATATGATTGCTAAGTCTAAAGATGAGGAAAACCATATCCCAGCTCTGAAGAAATTATTTGAAAGGCTGAGAAAGTATCAATTAAAGTTGAACCCTGCAAAGTGTACATTTGGGGTGAAGTCAGGGAAGTTATTGGGATTTATGGTAAGCAATAATGGCATAGAAGTAGACCCTGATAAAGTGAAGGCCATACAAGCTATGTCAACTCCTAAAACCGAGAAAGAAGTTCGAGGTTTTTTGGGGCGTTTAAATTACATTGCTCGATTTATTTCACAACTTACAGTCACTTGTGAACCAATCTTTCGATTGCTTCGAAAGAAAAACCCTGGAGTATGGGATGAAGACTGTCAAAAAGCATTTGATAAGATAAAACAATATCTGCAAAACCCACCTCTATTGGTACCACCTGTGCCTGGAAAGCCTCTCATTTTGTATTTAACAGTAACTGAATCAGCAATGGGTTGTGTGCTTGGCCAACATGATGAGACCGGAAGAAAAGAACAAGCCATCTACTATCTTAGTAAAAAGTTCACTGAGTGTGAATCTCGTTACAGTATGGTTGAGAAGCTGTGTTGTGCTTTGGTATGGAGTGCGAAAAGACTCCGGCAGTATATGCTATATTATACCACTTGGTTAATTTCAAAGATAGATCCTCTGAAATATATTTTTGAAAAACCGTACATGTCAAATAGGCTAGCTAGATGGCAAGTGTTGTTGGCTGAATATGATATCATCTACAAAACAAGAAAATCCGTGAAAGGAAGTGCAATCGCAGACCATTTAGCTGATAATGCCCTTGAAGACTATGAGCCATTAAATTTTGACTTCCCTGATGAAGATGTGTTAGTAATAGAAAGTGATTGGTGGACCATGTACTTTGATGGTGCAGTGAATGTGTCTGGTAATGGAGCTGGTGCTGTAATAATTTCTCCAGAAGGGAAACAATATCCCATCTCCATTAAACTGCAATTTAGTTGCACAAACAACACAGCTGAATATGAGGCTTGTATTCATGGATTAGAAGCTGCATTGGAACTAAAGATACAAAAACTAGAGGTATATGGAGACTCCATGTTGATAATCTGCCAGACAAAGGGGGAATGGCAGACAAAAGATGAGAAATTGAAACCATATCAAGAATATCTCTCCAAGTTGGCTGAAAAGTTTGAAGAGATAGAGTTCAATCATTTAGGAAGGGATAAGAATCAGTTTGCGGATGCTTTAGCAACCCTGGCCTCTATGGCCACAATCGATTGTGGTATCAGAGTACATCCTATAGGCATTGATATCAGAAGTTCTCCTGCTCATTGTTATTTAATAGAAGAAGAAATTGATGGCAATCCTTGGTATGCAGATATAAAAAGATTCATCCAATATCGAGAATATCCTTCTGAAGCTTCAAAGACAGATAAGAAGACGTTGAGAAGAATGGCCATGGAATACTTTCTAGATGGAGAAATCTTATACAAAAGGGCATTTGATGGGACTTTATTAAGATGCCTAGACAGATCAGAAGCCAATAAAGCTTTGTATGAAGTACACGGAGGAATTTGCACCACCCATGCAAATGGACACATGATGGCGAGAAAAATGCAAAGAGCAGGGTATTTTTGGATGACTATGGAGAAGGATTGTATAGAATTTGTCCGAAGATGTCATAAATGTCAGGTGTATAGTGACAAAATCAATGCGCCTCCATTGCCCTTATTCAATATGGTGTCACCTTGGCCATTTGCAATGTGGGGGATAGATGTGATTGGGCCTATTAATCCAAAAGCTAGCAATGGTCATCGATTTATCTTGGTCGCAATTGATTATTTTACAAAGTGGGTAGAGGCCTGTTCATATGCTCATGTGACGCAGAAAGTGGTCAAGCGTTTCATTGAGAGAGACCTAATTTGTAGGTATGGTTTGCCAGAAAGGATAGTAACCGATAACGCCAAGAACTTCAATGGGAAGATGATCGTGGAATTATGCACTAAATGGAAAATCAAGCATTCCAATTCATCCCCTTACCGACCAAAGATGAATGGTGCTGTTGAAGCAGCTAACAAGAACATAAAGAAGATTGTCCAGAAAATGGTGGTTACATATAAAGATTGGCAAGAATGGCTTCCTTATGCTTTACATGCATATCGAACAGCAATAAGAACGTCCACTGGGGCTACACCTTATTCATTAGTTTACGGAATGGAGGCAGTGATGCCTTTGGAAGTAGAGATTCCTTCTTTAAGGGTCCTCATGGAATCTGAGCTAGAAGAGGCTAAATGGGCAAGAATACGATATGAACAGCTAAATATGATCAGTGAAAAGAGATTAGCTGCAATCTGTCACCACCAATTGTATCAAAAAAGGATAGCAAGAGCATATGACAGAAAAGTTCGATCAAGAGAGTTTGAAGCAGGAGATCTTGTATTGAGAAAAATCCTATTACTACCTAATGAAAATCATAGCAAGTGGGCACCCAATTATGAAGGTCCTTATGTAGTAAAAAAGGCATTCTCTGGAGGAGCATTGATACTGACAGGAATGGATGGAGAAGAGTTAAGTAGGCCAGTGAATTCCGATTCTGTGAAGAAATATTATCCATGATTGTATAAGTTCTCATCCAATCAATAAAAGTTTTGCCAATAAATTCACTTTGCATGTCTTTGCTCTCTCTTATAGGTGTTTATCAAAGAATCAGTAAATACAACCTTGAAGCCTTGCATGATCTCATAGATTCAATTCATCATTCTTACCAAAATCAGTTTCCCTATTAGAGTTTTGAAAAATTGATCTGGCATTTTGATTTCAAAAGTAATTTGATGTTTATCCAAAAACAATATTTTTGACATTCTACTTGTAGAATGACAAATGAATCAAACAACTCCATTATTAAGGTGATTAATAAAAAAAAAGAAATGAATAAACACCTTTACCCCATTACTCTTGAATCATGTGTTTTTTTAAATGTATGAATAATGGTATGTAGTAAACTTGTTGCTCATAACTCATGAAATATATCTTTGCAAAGAATAAACCATCATACTATACGAGGTCAAAGTTTATTGATCATAGCTGCTTGCGCTTGAAATGAGGAAAGGCCATCTTTGTTATTTCCTTTCACGTTCTAAATAAATACATCCCTTGCAAACCCTTTTTGAGCCTGAACAATTTTTTCTTTCATAGAAAAAAATCCCGACTAGGATCACACCCCATACTGGGGGCAAGTGAAATTTCAATTATCAAGAAAGATGATAAAGCTGTGAGAAAGCCAAAAGTCAAAAAAGCTCAAGAAACTCAAATGCTAGGGGGCATGCCCAAATCACAAGAAAAAGTGATAACCAAGATAAAATGAGTATGCTCTATAG